AATAAATCACTTCTGAAAAAGGAGGGCAAAACCCCAAATACAAAAGGCCAACCAGCACAAAGCTCATCTTTATTTGCGTCACCGCTACAAAGGTTTTGGAAGCCGTTCCGTTTGTGTCCCACACACAACTCAAACATGAGAAATGCATGTAATATTACACAGTATGATCAAATCATTTCTAAGGCATTACAAATCACAAAGAGGGCCAGCATAATACTATAGTTAAACAAGGATGCAAACACAGGCCAAAGCATCATCTGGATTTCATACAGGATCCCACTGACTTCTCTGCCGTTACCCACCTGAAACGCAGGGGTTCTGTGACAGCAGCTGCAGTTAGTGACAGCTGAGACATGTGGCGTTGTGATTACAGCACTACGGTCTCAGTGATCACACAGAGCAGACGAAAAATGTATGTTCTTCATCTGCTCTACGGGCTCTATGGCGAGCTCCTATGCCGAAAAACACGGCGGGGGGGCGGACACGATCGCCGCTCGATTGGATACAAGTGACTTGTATTAAACGAGCAGCAGCTCCCACTGTACATTTAGCTCTACTTGTCAGGAGCAGGGCTAAATGTACAAAAAAAAAACTACTCGCCCAGTGCCCGAAACTGCATGCCCCGGGCGACAGGGATTCACTCCATAAGACGCCTTTTGGGGGGGTGTCTTATGGAGCGAAAAATATGGTACTTAAAAAGCACATAAATATTTGATGGATATCTGAAAACACCCCAAATACATAAAAAATAGCCAATAAAGTGCAGATAAGAACAATATAAAATGAATATCAAGAAAAAGTCCACGAAAAAAGGTGATGCCCAATAATGAATGTCCACAGTAATCCTAAAAAGTGCTGCAAAAGATGATCAGCAACCTTCACCCGAGAGAAACACTCTTTTGAAATGCTGCTCACCATATTAACCCCTTGATGACCGGGGTGCTCACACCCCCTTCCTGTCCAGGTCATTTTTTAGTATTTAGCGCTGCGGTACTTTGAATTACATTTATTCCGTCATGCAACGCTGTACTGAAATGAATTTTATACCATTTTTGGGGGGGACAGATAGAGCTTTCTTTTGGTGGTATTTAATCACCACTGGGGGGGAGGGATTTACTACATAACCCAAAAAAATACTGAAAATTTATACAAAAAAAACAAAACCACAACTCTGTTTTCCCTTATTTCCCTACATGTCACGCTTTAAAATTGTGCATGCCTGCAAAATCGCAAAAGATCTACCATACCCAAAATAGGCCACGGGCGACGCTTTAAAGATTTTACCGCTCATCAGTTTAATGTTATCAGTGATTGATGGCCCTAAAATTATTGCTCACCTTCCCGACGTTCACGGTGATATGTAACATGTGTGACGCAATCGTCATTTTTCGCACGTAGGCGCACCCGACGCATGTTTGCACATGTGGGGGGACTTAAAAAAAAATGTTGGGTTTGTTTTCACTGAACTTTATTGCTATCACATAGAGGGCTAAGAAGACCCCATGTGATTGCAAAATTACAGTAACATGCCCTCTTTACAGAGACATCGGGGGGTGGGGGCGCACACCCACACGCATAATACACGCTGGCTGTTTACATGTCAAGCAGATTTCCCGCTCGTATGCACCGCCTAGTTTAAAACCGCCCACCTGCATTAAATAAGCAACCGTCCAGCCATTTAATATACAACGGCCGGACAGATTATTTAACACAATAAAATCGGTCAACTAATCGATTATGAAAATAATCATTAGTTGCTGTGTGTGTGTGGGTGTAGCTTTGCTCTGGACATTGTAAACTTATTCCCAGCAGCTTTTTAGTTCATAGACTATCTGGATGGGGAGGAGATAGCGCTTGATTCAGTTTGAGTGCAAGTAGAAGTTTGCAATCTGTAGCACAATGAGGCAGTGATCGTCTGATACAGTGCAGTCATTTCCCTTCCAGAAATGCATCCAAAAACTAAAAGCAGACCCGGGTATATCGCTGTTCTTACTGCTTACGTATTACAGAATTTTCTCTTCTCCCTGGAAAACAAAACATCTGTTATCTGCCTGTACTACAGCTCCACCTTTCTTCATCTACTTCATATAAACATGGCCCCCACAGCCTATCATCACTCTGTTAACAATATACATCTCCGTCACGACTTCACAAGCACATTAAGTCAATGCGTGAAAATGTCTAACACCCTTTCTTCAGGCCTGTGGAGGGGAGAGGGAACTTCAGACGCTGTGAAGCAATGCCAAGACAGTCAGACATGCTCTAATTCCTACTATCCATGTTGATTCATGTACAGGACATCAATAAAAGGCCACAGAATTTCACAACATAAAACAGACATGGGGGAACTGAAAGAACATGACAGCAGACAGCTCCAGCAAAAAGATTAGACCGGCAGACCTGACACTAACCACTTATTACAAATGGCATACAAATATTAAACATTACTCCATAAGGAAGCTATACACGTATAGATTTCACCATAGAAATCACTTCGTTCCCCCATTCATGCTGTCTGCACTGCCAGTTATTGTATTCAGGCAGCCGTTACATCTGTAGCTGCCTGAATAACCGAATAGTGACAGCATCGGATGGGCCACCCACACTTCAATTCTTGGCTCATTCCTGCTGCATGTAAGGTTAGCTTTAGAAAGGAACCTGCACAATAATGACATTAGAACAGCTTTTTCAAGTAAATAACGTGTGTGAAAACATTTTGTAAATTTGTTCGGATACAAAGAGCCTGGTCTGGAAAAATGCTGAACTGATAAGGCTTCTGTCTGCTGGCCAATTGATGGCTGCCATCTCCCTCTTTCACGCCCAGTTATTTGTGTGTCCAAAGTCTTTTAAATTTAAAAACACAAAAAAACACCAGCACTTGGCTTAACGTGCAAATGCAATCTGGCAGCTCCAAAATACAATTATACACAGGGAATACAAGCATTACATAGGCCAGAGAGTAGCACTTGAAACTCTGGTAGAAAATGGATTTTCCTTCACAAATGGGATGCTTTAAAATGTTACTAAGTACAAGATCCCCTTTCAAGTCTATATAGATCCTAATAATTAATGTCTCTCATTTGCTTCCTTTGTGTCTGTTAAACATACCATTGAAACATTATGTTAGATCCAGTCAACCCTGCCGGAAATCCATGCGGTTCTGTGCACCCTGTAGTCTTCTATCAAACAATGTTATCATAATTAGGGCTGCAACAACGAATCCATTTAAATCGATGATAGACGATGATGAGAATTGTTGTGAACGATTCTCATTATGGATTAGTTGATTCTGCTTGTTTCATGGGCTCCGTTTCCCTCCGATACCCGCTGCGGGGATGGGATGGGACACAGACCCCTGCAGCCGGTGCCCAGCGTTGAGAGCTCCACACCTCAATCTCCCACCAGCCTCATCCTCAGGGGAGGAGAACCTTCTCCTTCAGGTCCCTCCTCTGCTGATTGACAGCAGGCGGGTGCAATAGCCAGCTTGCTATTGGCTATTGCAATTTTAAATAGTCAATAGCAGACTGGCTATTGCTCCCAGCCACTGCCTGCTGTGCTTACATTCAACTGTCTCAGCAGGCAGCTGTAATTCCCTGGCTAAAGATTTTGACATTAAAAGGTGACACTTGGGGTCTAATAGACCCCTAATGTCACCTTATTGAGAACCTGCCACCTACAATGTGTTATCACATAGGGGGCTTGTGAAACCCCCATGTGATAGCAATGAAGTAAAAATAACCCTTCCCCCACCCCATAAATGTAAAGTCCCCCGATCCCACGAACGTGCTAGCGCATACTAACGTACAAACGGAAACACAAGCTGGGTGCATCTATGTACGAAAATGACGATTGCACTGTACATGTCAGCTATCAGCGTGTGGCTAACTCTAAACGGATGACTGGGCTTTTGGGGGGCGCGTTTGTGGTGTCATTTAATTTTCCCGCAGCAGAATTTTATCAGGCCAAAACCGAAAATGACTTTTTTCCCACCTTTTATAATTTTGTTTCCCTAATAATTGTATTGTAAGCACATGGCGCTTGAATAGCTTCCTCCAGGGAATGGCAGCTGCCTGTGGCAAGATTCCACAGATGGCAGCTGCAATAGCAGGCTGGCTATTGCACCCGCCCACTGCTTGCTGTGCCCTCCTCCCAGTGTGGAGGAGAGAGCTAGGGAACCCAACCAACTAATCGATAATGACAATAGTTGACAACTATTCTCATTATTATCGATCAGTAGGTTACAGCCCTAGTTGAGACAAGCAAACCATTTCACACTGACAGGGGTGCTTACAATGGTTAGCTTTTTTTTTCCGTTTGGGTTAACTGCTTAAAAATGGTAAGCTGGAGTTTGGCTTTGAATGTAATAGTCAAGTCCATCTAGCACTACCTCTCCACAGGGTGACAATGCTGCTCTCCAAGGGTGACTCTGTGGCTCCTCCCTAGAGTGGAGCCACCAGGAGACAGTGCGTCAATGGCAGGATCACCAGGTGAAAAAGTAAAAAAAGCCTAGAAAGAAAACTATGCAGCCACCACATTTAACCTCCCTGGCGGTAATCCCGAGTCTGGCTCGGGGTGAATTTTCAATGCTAGGAGCGGTAACCCCGAGCCAGACTCGGGGCTGCAGAGAAAAGTGACACTCACCTTCTCCCTGCGATCCCGCGGCGTCCTCTGCTGTACGCGGCTATGGTAAGCTGCAAAATGTTAGATTGCACAAAACACAATAATCCAACGACTGAGAAGAACTGCACAAAAACCTAAATGAAACAGTAAAATGGAATAACAATTCCAAATTAAATTAGGAACTAGCAAGCTTCGAGCCGTGTCTTAACGGGATAAGTGTTTGCTGCTAGAAGAATCATTCTAATGAGCTGGAATGTAGACAAGATTTATTTGTTTATAAGAAGTGCCACAGCCTACAGCCGAGGTGAAAGAATCCAGCTACTGCCACAAGAGGCATACTAGGCCAGCTTTCTGCCAGCCTTATCAACCTTAAAGGATATCTGACGTCCATGCTTCTCCACAGGTCTGTGATGAGGCGGGTGCAGGCGGTTTCTCGATACCCTCTCCACCAGCCCATGGTGCCTCATACCGCGGATGTTATCCGTGTGGTGAAATGAACCCTAAAAAAATAAAGGAGATGCATTACTAAGGGATCACAACATTTTATAAAGTCTAACCAAATATGTTTAAACATGTGGCAAGCCTTCCGCTCTGACTTTTAGTGCTTTATATCTCTGTAGTTGGTGGTAATAGCATTCGGCTACAATTGCAAAACAAAAAGATCCTTCACACGCTAGTTCAGCCAGCTGCCTGTCTTCTATCCTTAGAACTCTGGACAGGAATGGTAGTCAGCCAGTGAAAACAAAGAGGCCCAACCAGCTTAAGGGGTTCTTTGGCTTATTGGTAGACTTAACCAATCAAGGACCACTTTAAAATCAAATATAAATGGTTCACATTATGTAGAACATACTGTAGTTGTTCACAGTAAACTAACAAAACGTTTCCCCACTAAAGAAGAACTCCGGGCAAATAAAACAAAAAACAACCTACCCTTGCAGTGGGGCTACCCCCCGCACTGTAAATGTTAAGTTCAGGTTTGCTGGGAAATCTCATGAGATCTCAAGGAAAGGCATTTCCCTCCCCTGTGAGTTACATGTGCCAGAGTTCCAGGAAGTAAAGAGAGATCCAATAACCTGCCCATAGTTAACCACTTGTTATCCGGAGCAATTTCTTACTATTTGCACACAGATGATAAAATCTGAATTTTTGGCTACAAAACAGCTTCAAACCCCCAAACAATGATATATTTTCTGAAAGCAGAGACCCTGTAGAATAAAAACAAATTTCTAGTTGCAATTGATGTCATACTGTATTTTTGCAAATGTTTATCAAACCACCATTTTTAGGATAAAATGCAGTAAATTAAAATTTAGTGCACAGAAACAAAGAAGCTGAGGAAGCAGAGATCTGCTTCTGCAGCTTCTTCTCCTGGCTCTAAGAGCCGGAGAACCTTCGCTCACAGATCTCCTCCTTGTACTATGGGACCGGGAGCGATGCAGATGACATCACTTCCGGTCCCATGGCTGTCAGTGCTGAGCTCCTGAAGCCCAGCAATAAGCTATTGAGACAAATGTAAAAATAATGTAAAAAATTTTCTCTAAAGTCCCCCCGCGAGCACACGCGTTCACGTAGACACGCGTCGGGTGCGCCTACGTATGAAAAAGACCATCACACTACGCGTGTTGTGTATCGCCGTGCACACCAGAGGGAAAACAAAAATTCTAGGGTCAATATTTACACGTATCACTAAATTGATGACCTATGGGGGCTTTTAAAAGCACCGTCTATGGACTTTTTGGGGTACTGAATTTTGTTGCAGTTTCACGGACGCACACAGCTTTTAACATGGTCATGTTGGGTAACTATTTAATCATTCTAACCTTATCTTTTTATTTTTTTAAAATGGGTATTTAATTGTGTTTTTGGGCATTTAAGTGCATTTTTTCACAAAATTTGGGGGTTTGATAATGCATTGCGCTAATATCATGCCACATAAAAATGTGTAACTGCCACCATTTTATCTTATAGGGTCTGGACTTTCAGAACATATACTGTTTGGGGGTTTGAAGTAATTTTCAGGCCTAAAATGTGGATTATAACGTGGGTTCAAAAAAAACGAAAATGACTGTCAATAAGTAGTTAATCCTTGAACTCCACTCGAGCACCCCGAGAGATGAAAACGTCTGGGTGAATATTACAGATTTGAGTTGACTCAAAGCAAAGACTGGCACCTGCCATTCAAGTGTCCAAAGTGAGATCTTAACTTGGGATACAGAATAATTAGTGTTTGGTTGTAGAATTGAGGAGAATGGGAGGGTTTCAGTAGTTTAGCAAAAGGCATTGGGCAGGGTTGAGATCACTCAGTCTACAAAAATGCTGTGTGTTGTCAGCCCAGTAAAGGAGTACATTTCTGGCCAATAAATAAGTATTCTTCTATATGACGTATAAAGGGATAAAACATGGGGAAATGTGCATGGATTGTAGAGACGCGATTGTTATTAGGCCATGAAATACACGGTCACAAAACACACTGCCTCCACTTCAGAAATATTGCTGAACACTATATTAAACTGACAGGTTTATTCAAGTGTTTTATGGACTATAATATCAAGTGTGGTTGAGGAAATTCTAGCATATCAGAAAATGGGATTGTTTAGAAATCATTCCAGTTCTTCAACAGAAAAGGCATCAAGCCCCTTTATCTTGTTTGTACCACATCTGAACTTCGGTCACATCAAAGATTGCAGAACATTTTGGCTTTTTGGGAAAAGGGCGCAGTGTCATTCACTGTGAGAGACTAGAAAGTATATTGCTGGCCTGAGATCCAATCATTACTATTTAAACAAAACACTTATCACCTATACAAGTATATTTCAGTGCAGAGTGACACAGGTATTGCAAATTGTATAGATAACAGTCAAAGGTTAAAACAATTGAATTGTCTTGCTTCTATAACCTATATTGCACTGTCACATCAGATATTGATTCCACATCATGATCGCAACACCTGTGCCTTTAGGCTTAGTTCACACCAGAAACTGCATCACAACTGCGTGCGTCTGCGCAGTTCCATTGTGATCCGTTTTGATGCATTTTTTCCCCCCTGTCCGTGGATGATGCCACAATCAATTGTTGTTTTTTTTTGTATGCAGTCTGTTGTGTTTTAGTTTTGATGCGTTTGCACAGTTAGATGCAGGTAAAGTAGGACAAGCAGTACTTTTTCTGACTGCAGTTGACCTGACTGCAATGGTGTGAATGAGGTACAAGAAAGCCCATAGGAAAGCATTGTAATGTATTTTGACTGCAGCAGTCAAATAAACGGACTGCATCACAACTGCATATGGTGTGAACTGGCCCTTAGCCAGTCACTGTGGTTTACCCAACAAGGCAGCCATGTTTAACTGAGGGGTACCTTTAGAAAGCACTGGTCTGATATCACCCCAAAATTAGAGCTGCAACAAAGATTAAATTTGCATATGGTGTGAACTGGCCCTCAGTCAAGAAGATGAAGTGGAGAAGTTCACCAAAAAGACTTGGGAGGTTTATTTATAAACAATTTGCAGAACTATTCACCCTGCAAATATCTGTGAATGTCTGTTCTATGTGAATAAAGGCAAAAACGAACTTTCTTATTTTGTTTTCAGGTTGAATGTAATGTGCTGTAATACCGCATTATGGCTACTAAATGGAGCTGGGGAGCATAAGAAAAAAAAGTTGTTTCAATGCTACTCCCCTCCATCTAGTGGCCAGAATATGGCATTACAATAGACCTAAAAAAAAAAGTAAGAAAGTAAATTTTTGCCTCTATTTGGCCAGAACGGAGACTTACAGGACAGATAGAAGCTGATTGGTTGCCATGCACAGATGCTCCAATGTTGATAAATTCCCTTCACAGTGTATTGAGTATTCCCTCTACCCACCAGCACCAGGTTATTGCTTTAGGACAGCCAGCACTTGCAGTTGTCAGAATACATGAACAGTAACTGCGGCCGATTGACTGCCCAACTTTTATTGTGGCCCGTGTTCCCCTCACCTCACTTTCTGTCGCTGTAACAGCAAAACAAGAAATGAGGGAACAGTTGTCACTTCAACATGAAGAGCTAAATAGCAATAATAATAATTTGGATAGAGGTTCTAACCCTTCCTTCTGGTTACTGAAAAAAGTTTGTGCCCCCTCCCCAAGCAAGGACAAACCAACCCACTGGCATCATAGACTATACTTGAAAACTCACGTGGTTTCTATTCCTTCCTCAATAAACCTTCCTACTGTTTACTTTGGACATGTAAATCTAGCACCAAAACCTAATGGGGAGAATTTATCAAACTTGGAGCAGACAGAAACTGGAGCAGCTGTCCATGGCAACCAATCAGCTTCTAACTTTCATTTGCAAAGCGCTTAACTGAACAAACTGAAGAGAGAAGCTGATAGAATCCGGAGCAGTTGCCCAAAGTAACCTGTCTGCTCCCGTTTTGATTTCCCATCAATGTATTTTGCTAGCTGGGTTATAATGACACCTGACTAGAAAAGCAATCATGTGAATTACACTTACAATTTTTTATTTGTACAAATTGCTGCGGCCTGCTTCACAGTCCAAAAGGTCATTGTGCAACTGAGCAGGCTGCCTCTTCCATGTGACAGTGTTCATTCCCTCTCCCAACAAGTTGCCCATAAAGAGTTTGAACATGTGCAGATCCAGCGGTTCCTTAGTGTATGTAGAAGTAAACAGTTTATGGGAATACCGGGCACTAGATTCTCAGCAGGTTTATGCATGCCAGGGGACATTGTGAAGGTTCTCTCAGATACATCTGCAATTATTTGCTTCTGTCTTTACAATCTGTTATGAGATTTTATGACCCAAATCAAAATTGAACATAGAACAGAACTATCACATCTATTATCCACAACAATTAGGAGCCTATATTCTCCTTGATAGGTTTTTCCACTATTTAGAGTAGAGCTGCTTATATGCAATAAAGGGTAAGTGACGTTTTATAAGGGCACACACATACACAGCTTCGAAGGGACCCGTACTTCAGGAGCACCCAACTTCATCCGTTGGAGGAAACCTTCTTCAGCAAGTCAGAGGAACTTCAAGCATGCAAAAATGTAGTACATGCACAGATCTTTGATCTTGTCAAGCTAGGAGCAATCCAGTTGTTTCCAGGGTGACCAAGGGCTAGACATGGTCGAAAACACTGCTATGTGAAATGGGAGCTGTTTAGCATTACCATGCTTATGCAAGAACGTGAAAGGGCTTTTATTATGGAACAAACGTAGAAACAACTTGCCTCACTCCCTACCAGGAAGCCCCAAATTAAATAAGGGGGGAGCTCACAGTGACCGCGGGCGGCGACGCCAAACAGTACAAAATAAACGGATGTCACCAGCACACCAATGGTATGGAAGTCCAAAGTGTTTGTTTAGTGGAACATCATGTCACCAGAACTAGCGCACTCGGTGTCCCCTTCATCAGGCTCAGCAATGAGTCTGAAGGGGACCCTGCGTGGCCCCGAAAGAGCTAGTTCTGGTGACATGATGTTCCAATAAACAAACACTTTG